TCATCGCATGTGAGCTTCAACAAAATTTGCACCACACCACACGTTTGGAATGATTTCGACCCGTTCAGAGCACACTCCCATCCACCAAAATCGCCATTTCAGCTGAGACTTGTCACGAAAACAGAGCTTCGATGCCACACCCTGAAACGCAAATCCCAATGGCACGGCCACATCCAACACCCCAAAAACACGACTCTCCAAACGCTAATCCCAATGGCACTGCGCAGCAAACTGCGGATCTCACAAAACGCTGCGCCTGTGCAGCGAAATGCATCACGTTTCTTGCGCGACATGTCGGTGTCATGCCAATCACAATGGAATTGCGGCGCAAACTGACACGTGACACATCCATGAAAAGTCACTTGCAAAAGCTTCCCCCAATGGCAGCAAATTTGAGACGCGGCGACGACGACAGACGACGACAGACGACGACAAACGACGAGAGACGACGACAGACGACGAGAGACGACGACACGACGCAAGCCACGCGAACACAGCTCCAACCCCCAGACCCCCAACTATAAACGGGAACCCTTCGCTACGCATTCGGGAAAAACATCGGTTTTTACGAGGTTTTTGGCCGGACAGCCACAGAAAACCCTGTAAATTGCGTGGTTTGAGGCCACTCTTGCAGACTGGAGCTGAAAACCATGTTAATTACAGCGTTTGGTAGCTGTTGACAAAGACCCGCGCCAGGGTGGAGTTGAAAGGCCCCCCCCCTCGGCCCTTAAAAGTAAATGTTGGAGGGCGATTCGCAATGAGATGGGTGTCCACTCTGTTTATAATTTACGATTTTGCTAAAGCAAAAGGAAAACTCAGGTAGCGTAACCGCTACCTTTCGTGAGTAAGGACGCTTCTTGCAACAAGGACGCTACTAGTAGCAAAGGGCATCGCTACTAGGAGCAAGGACGCTAGTAGGGGTTCCTGGCCTTACTGCTAAGAGCAAGGACGCTACTAGTAACAAGGGCGCTACTAGTATATAAGTCTTATTAAGTCTTGCGCAATTCCGAAGGTCAGAAAGGCCGTGAAAGGCCTACATCTGAATATATAGAATCTTCTCTCTTGTAACTTGGTGGTTTCGTGGAACTTGGTGCTTTGAGTTGGCTCTGCTTTCGGGCTCTTGTGTGAGACATGTTACACTCTGTGTGATCAGCCCAGATATCCTCTGTGGCCATGTGGGCTTTGCTTGGAACAGTTTCATTCTGTGTGATCAGCCCAGATCGTGTGTGGGATTGGGGGCTTTGCTGACATAGCATTCTGTGTGGTCAGCTCAGATGTCGTCCATGGATTTCCTGGAAACAGGATTCCACTTATGGGCTGTGACTTGTGACATCAAATTGTATGCCCAGGTATCGTGAGTGGGGTGTGATCGGGATTTGATATCCTCGGGTTGGGGCAGGTACGTTTAGAGTGATCAGGCTTGATATCCCACATTTGGAGCAGGTACGTCCAGAGTGATCAGACTTGATTTCCTAGGGTTGGAGATATCTAGGGTTGGAGAAGGTACGTCCAGTGTGATCAGGCCAGATATCCTAGGCTTGGTACGTCCAGTGTGATCAGGCCAGATATCCTGAAGTTTGGAACAGGTAATATGCCTGTCCAGTATGATCAGCTCAGGTCCTGGGGTCCAGGCACATTGTTCCTGACTAGTGGCTCGATTAAAGAGAAAACCTTTGACTGAGTTTCTGCAGACCAAAAGAACAACACCTCTGTTCGGGCCACACTTGGGCGGCGTAAATGTGGCGTAGCCAATAAACAACAACACCAACAACCGGTCAACAAACAAAACTGACAGCAAATCTGCAGTGTCAAAACCACATACTCGTTTCAGCTCTTATTTCCATCCAGCTCAGTGCCGTGGGTCCACACAGTCTTCAGGAAATCCGCCCTTCATGGCCGTCCTTTTGGATTTGTACACTGTTTCAGAAGGCAAGTGAACCCAAATTCTCCACTTCTCACCTTTCATATCACCGCTCTGGCGAAGGTGCACAAAAACCTGTGCCAAGGACTGGCTGAAACAGACTCAAAGGAGAAGAGTGTTTGCGAGGTGAAGCCAGGTAAAAAATAGACAGAATATTGGAAATGAACATCATGGAAAGGAGGGAAGAACCAAAAAAAAACAAAAGCCATCTCATAGCTGGCAAAGTATATCATAGGGGCTGAAATAAATATGTAAGGAAAGGCGGCAAAAACAGTCAGTCAACCCAACATCACTGACCAACTCGCTCTGAACCACACTTTTGGTTTACACAAAAATGCATAGAAACACATGCTTCATACAAAGTTAAAAGCAGTCACCTGTTGCATCCGTTTCATGTTTGTAATCGGTGTGCTGTGTATACCGTTTGTGACCCCCACCTTCCAATCGCCAGACTTGTCTGTGTATGAGTACTCTGCCTTGGGGCACCAAGTCTTCTCACCATCGCCCTTTGAACTTGACTCACCAGGAGCATCACTGGTAGACTTTGGCTTAGTAGACGCCTTTTTGGAAGAGGCTGGGCGCTTCAAGGTAGGCAGGCTCAGGACAACACCGGCAGTCCCTTCAGTTGAAGCAACCACTGCAGTATCTCCCACATCTGAAGCCTCCGCAGCTGCCGGGCGCTTCCAGCAAACACTCTCATCGACAGCTGCTTCTTGTTCGTCCTCAAGCGGGTTTTTCCTCGCCTTCTTGGAATTCTTCACCAAAGCTGAGCCTGAGGAACTTGGGCGTTTTCTTGGTACAGTCTGCTCGGGATCAGATTCCAAGAACACTTCACCTTCACTTTTTGGACTGGGAGCGGCTTCACCGCATGGAGCTTCAGCTTGACCAGCACTCTCAGAAGCCACCTTGTTGTCGCTACCTGCTGATTCCTGAGGGGCATCCGTCTTTGCTCTGTCACCAGGTGGCACTGGTTGCAAGCAATCTTCGTGTTTTGGTAGGACATTACCGGAATCTGCTGCCATGCGGTCAGGGTGGGACGGTGAATTTGCAAATTCGTCCTCATAGGAATCGGAAAACTGCAAGTTGGCCATCATGGTTCGCCGCAAACTGCCCACATTGATCGCCATGAGGAGAAGGATGACAGCTGTGCCCTGGTTTTGAACTAGAACTTGAACTGAACTTTTGAACCATCGAAATGAAAACTGAATCATTGTCGTGAGTGAACAGGCTGAGGCTGCACAGTATTTACTCTGTGCACACTACAGTGGAGCTCAGCTGTACAGAATTTCTCGTCCTAAAGATCCTAAAGACATACTTGACTTAAGGCCGCAAACTCACTTCCAAATGCCCTTACGTGACATCAACTCATCCAAGGTGAGCTCAAAAGAATGAAACTGAATCTTCATGTTTTTGTCGCACACTGATGGGTGGAAGAACCAAGCTCTTTTGGCAGGCCTGCTACGCAATCACAATCACATCACATCACAATGGCGTGCAATCTCCAACATTGCCAGCCTCGCATTCGACAAAACTTCAAAAAGCTCGGCATTGGATCCTACACATTCTTCCGACAGCCACTCACAAACAATTGCTGAAGCATTTTTAGCTTCTTGTGCCACACGAATTCGAGTGCTTGGGTCCAAAAAGCGCATGTCGTTGAATGCACGGCAGCGCTTTGCTGGGGCCAGCGCATGGTGGTCGATTCTGTCATCGGGCTCGTCCTCGCCAAGGGCATACATGGCTTTCGCTGCAATGATTGCAGACCCCAAAAGCGCCAGATCCTCTGTGGCTTGCCAGATTCCACATGTGCGCACCGCAAAGGTGCAAAGCTCCTTCACAAGTTCAAACTGGTCCTCCGCAGCACCCTTCGCCGCAACAATCTCTTGACTGTATAAAGCTGCCAACTCTTTTATGGCGGCATTGGACATCACAATGGCCATGTTTCTAGTGAGTTTGCGTTGGTCTAATGTTGCGCGCTTCTTGAGAGTGATGAAGGACGGGAGTTTAAACCCACTGCATTCAAGCTGCTAGCATGACAGGAAGCACTGCATCTTGAAGAAAACACAACGCACAGCTACTTGCTCTGCTCAAAAAAGATTTGATTTTCACTGCGAAACCCCCCTACTATACATCTCACTGGCATTTTGCCGGTGCAGGCCCAATCTAATTGCACTCAAAGCATAGGGGTTGTTCCCGCTGGAGTTGAGGAACAGCCGGCTGGCAAATCACCGTGGTGATGGGACCACGTGCTTGAGGAACGCAAGCTCCACTACAAAGAAACAGTGCAAAGTTTTCCAATCCCTTTCCCTCCAAAAAGCAGGTGGGTCTGTCTTCAAGGCGAGGCGGTCCAAATTGCGAAGATCGTGATCTCTGATGTGTTGAGTCATTCGACGAAGCTTCACATTCTTCTTTTTGTTCTCAACCACTAATGCTCTTTTGCGCCAACGCCAAGCTTTGTGCTTCTCCAGCCAGCTCATCGTTCTCATGGCAGTCATGAGGAAAAGGCAATGGTGAGAGCATCACAAGCCAAACGCTAAGCACCAGTCAAACGTTGTTACAACAGCTTTCGACATCGTCTCTTATTAGCCAACACAACGAAAATCAACAAAAAGAACGAGAGAGAAGGATCGAAAAAAGAGAGTGAGTGCGCCTTGGTTCAGCTCGCGGCCGCTGTGCTATGTCAAAACGGCGTGCAGGACCCCCGGGTGCCTTAACCACACTTCCTGCAAACCACATATATAGTTATATATAGAGTACACCTAGGCTGTGGCTGGCAGCTAAGGAGGGACCTGCAAGTGAGCCAAAGCACATTACGATCCTACTGACCCCTTTGTGACCCACTCAGCAGCCACATCTTGGAAGAAAACACTTTTGCGAATATCAATCAAATTTAAACAGACATGTGTCTGACAGTAACCCGGTACACTCTGAACAACGCAGGGGCTGCCCTGATCACAGTGGAAGGGTCCAAACATATGCATCGATCACGCCTTTCAGCCAACCTGTGTTGGCTGGCCAGGCTTCAAGGTCAGTCCCGTGAGCAGCATAACGTGTGGTTTTTGAATCTTCACCACTGAGTTCACACGCTCATATCTGAATCTGAACACTTTGCTGAGGGTAGGGCTCTTCTCAAGTTCATCCATGGACTTTCCAAAAAACTTTTTGACGAAGTCTTCTCGCTGGCGCCAGGCAAAATCTTGTACTTGTGAGGGGTTTTGATGCAAATGCTGAAGCCATCACCTGAATTGCTAGAGTCTCTTGCGCAATCCGTGTAGGACACTTTGTATTCCACGATGCGCTTCACTCTTTCCAAATAGGTGAGGAACCGGTACATCGTCATCACCTCCAAGTTGGTGGACTCAGGTGTTATTGATGAGTGGTCAACCTGAACGAGCGTCTTGTCCCCCAACTTCCACTCGAACTTCAATCCAAGGCCCTCCTCATCCTCAGGGACGTACCTGACTCAGTGTGCAACACCAAGAAATCAGGAAAGCTGAAACGCCCAACATCCACCCAATAAATCCCACAAAAACTTGCCACCAAAAAATAGAATTTGTCGAAGGACTTGCCAGTCCCAAATCCTCCAATGATAGCATGACGTGGAATCGCCTTCTGCTTCTCTGAAAACAGGAAAATCTTCTTGGATGTGGTTCTGATCAACTCCACACCTGCAATCTCGGAAGCGCACTTGCACGCCACTGGATCAACTGCAGCAAGCTTGTCCAAGCTCTCAAAAGTGGTGAGGGTAGGCTCAGGCTCGTTGCGCTCGGGAGTCTCCTCCTCATTGCCCTCCTCTGTCGGTACCACCTGAGAGCCAGTGCCAGAAGACTGCTGAATCAGGTCAGCAAGCAAACCCTCGTACTTTTCAGCATGCAACCTGCGCAACTCGTTGAACTCGTCTGCAAACTTGGGTCCTTTCGATTGCCACATGCGAACTTGGTCTGGGTGAATGACCAGTTTCGTGCCCTCCCGCTGCAGGACCTCAAGGGCCATTGCATCCACTGACTTCACACAGGAAGCTCCTGGAATGTCATTGAGCTCCTGGCATCAAGCACGCTTGAAAGACTCTTTCATATTTGGCAAACAGGTTGGGCCTAAAAAAAATGAACGTCTGCGTGTTTTCAACAAAGGTGTCCTGCTCCGTCAAGGATACATCAACATCTTGGAACTTTTTCCCGTTGAAGCTCAACTTCTTCCCCAACCAGGCATCTAGCAACTCGCGATACACCCGGGCTTTAGCATACTGCAGGCCTGACCTGGAGTCCAAAGTATGTAGACTCAAGTAGAACAAGTTCTGGAAATCGAAGCCTCCTCCGTCTCCGGCCAGCGTCCCTGTCAGCCTCAATGCCAAGACCTTGGAGAGAAGTGCAGAGTTGCATTATAAACCTGCCTGGCTTCCAGCAAATCCCTATCTATTATAGACAGTATCTATGCTACCTATAAGTATATATATAAGTTACTACACTTATTACAAATATATACTGTATACAGTATACACAATCGAAATACATAATATATTTGAAAAACATACAACATATATCTCTAACATATTCATCAAAAACACAACACGAGTTGGCCGCATTCCAAATTGAATTTGACTATATTTGACCTATCAATGTTCTTTAAGCCGTCGCGTCTCGCTGTTTGAAACGAATATTAATGCCACGCTTAGGGACACAAGCCGCCATCTCCTCGACATAACCTGTAAGGTTGACCATGATCACAGGGGCCTTGACCTTGGAGTGCCTAAACAGTGATTCGAGCAGAAGTTGGAGCCTGGCAACTCCTTTCTGCGCAGCTGTTTGCTCTGGCGAAGGTCGCAAACGATCTGCCAGCTTGAGATCTTGATCGGGTGAACTGGCCTCGGGCAGTAAGAGTGAACTTGCCCGAGGTAAAACAGAACACGGAGCACCCTGATCCTGCTCTGCCCTGCCTACAGGGCGGCCGCACACTGCCAGTTCACTGTCCAGCCACTTGTTGTCATCCTTGCTCTCGGCAGAGACAACCAAGCGGCCTGCTGCCCATCGCCGCATGCTGGAGCGAGCCTCTCCCCTTGCGTCTTTTGTGAACAGATCCACAAACTGGCACGCGCAATCTTGCTTTTGAGCAAACATCGACTCAACTATCTGCCGTTCTTCATCCCACAGGCCCCGAAGGCTGCTGTCCTTGGCCAAGTCTGGCATCAACAACATCGTAGCGTTCTGTGAGCTGTTGCCCATGTCGTTGCAGAGTCCAACTCCCTGGCTCAGGATGTCAACCTTCGACGCCAACCTGGCGCCTGGAACATTGTAGTCCACAAACCCAATGATGTGAACTTCGTCTGGGCTCGTCTTGGTCAGGTCAGCCTCAGAAAAGCTGGTTTTGTTTGGGGCTGCTTTGTTGTTTCCAATCAAGGAACCTCAGAAAATATAAACATCGAAACATCAAAGAACATGAGTGTCAGATCGAATGGGTGGGTTTCAGCATTGTTACATGGCAATGGGTGTGATGCCTGCTAGTTAGTGATCATGTTTACTACAAACACGGAAGGCAAGGAACCACATGTTGCTTCATCCTTGAAATCTCGCCAGCTGCGTGCTCGATCTTCTCCAAAGAAACAACTCGGATGTATGCGTCCTGAGTCCATGGAAGTTCAACTCAACCTGTAACTTCCAACCTGTGCTTTTCATTTTAATGAAATGAAGCCGAATCCCCCTTTCCTCTTCCCCGCAAAAAGGCAAAACACGCAAACACATGTCTTTTGGGCATGCCAGTCCTGATACCCCTTGCAAGCAGCATCACCCTCAGCAGCCAACTTAGATCGATGAGAAACCTGCTTGGAATGAAGCTTTCGCTTCACCAGCCTCGGAGCGTCTTGCGCTTGCTCCACCTTGTCGTGATCACGCTTCAGCGCCCCTTTGAAAAAGTTCCACTGAGCAGCATCAACCTCTGCCTGCTGCTCTTCCTTCGCTTCAACCTTCTTCTGCTCCATGTCCCAAAGGTCCTTCTTTGCAACCTCCTGCTCAGAGGGGAACATGGAGAGCGAGAACCTTGATGGTCTTGTATTGAATAGAAACTGCAGGTCGGCATCTCTTTTGGAATTGGCAGCTATATCCTCTTGCCAGCTCTTGACATTCTCTGGAGTCATGCGAACTTGCAAGTGAGGGAGCAGTTGGTCAAACAACACCACCGTGTTTCGTGTCTTCTGCAATTCGTCTGCTGACAATCTGTATTTCTTCTTCATGTTCACTGGAAAGCTCGAGGTAGTTCTGTTCCAATGCGACAAAACACGTTTGAACAGCAGTGCTTGCGCAGACTCTGTCATCGGCAATGTCCAGTCAATCGACACACTCGCCTCATTTGGCAGTGGCTGGGGCGTCTCCTCCTCCATTGGCGGGGCTGATTCGAAGGGCATTGATGACCCCAGGAAAACGAAGTTGTAGGTGCCAAACACCTCACCAAATGGTCCAAGGGACCATGATACGTCGTGTGTACTCGTCAAAAGCACGTCGAAAGCGCCTGACGCTGTCTTCTCAAAGAAATTCTTGACCGCCTGCCCAGCATTGAATCTCCATTAAACACAGGGCAATGATTGGCAACAACCACATCCACCTCCTACTTGGAACTTAATACAAGTGGTGATATCGCCAAATCTGGCCCATGTGAAATTACCTATTTATGAACCATTCAGTCTATCCCTCAATGCTGATGGAGCCTGCCGTTTCCTGCCGTCCAGGCTGATCGATCCAGAACCTTGACCTTCAAAAGCTTGTACTTCGGGGTGTCCATTATAGCGGGAAACAGCTTGGTCCATCGTAGTACAATTGCCTAGGCAAGCTAAGATGCTAGCCCATTGCAGGCTGCTCACCGGCTGCACCTTGCTATCCACATTCTGTTTGACAATCCTGCTGATCATGGAGTCCACCTCGGAATCTTGGGTACCGCTTGCCCTGAAGGTTGTTCGGATCTGCAGTAAAGACGCAACAAGGTTCACCACCTGGGGATGTTCAAAGTCAACCTCTGCTATGTCCGGGAGCTCGCTTGCAAGAAGCAATGCAATCCACACCGTGAAGCCTGCTAGTGTCTTCTGTGAACCATCACTGAAGTAGAGCGAACCAACCGCCAGCAGGTGCTTCAGTGGTGGACCAGGAAGTCGCAAGGAGACCGTCTCGCCCTGACCAAGGTTTCGTCGAGCAGCCGAAACCTAGCCTCAAACACATACAAGACAAACCGCGCATTATGGAGAGCTGTCCGAGGGAACGGTCGCCATAAGCCATATGAAGCTGGATGGGGTAGTTAAACGGTGAGGTTGTTCCCTGTCAACACCGTGAACTTTGGGTAGTGCTGGGCACCCAACTTATGGAGAGCCGTCCGCGGGACACCTCTCCAAAAGCTCGGCCTTTGATTGCACTGTAGAAGGTGACTGAAAGAGTTCTCGAAGCAACTTAGAGTGTTGAGCGTTCCTGAATCAGAAAATGTGTGAAGCTTAACTTCTTCCAAAGTCCGGTCATACCTAGAAGGCTTGAAGACCACAGAACCTGTCAAACACAAAGCACCGGCTGCTGCTGAAAAAAAAGTTGGCGTCAACACGTTTAGGGTTTTGCCACGGTGGATTATGGTGAGGTGTCCGCTGGTCACCTCGCCATAAGGGTTTCCTCGCCATAAGGGTTTCCTCGCCATAAGGGATTCCTCGCCATACATGATTCCTCGCCATACGGGTTTCCTCGCCAAAAAAAATCATGAAACTCTCGCCAAAAGAAATTCCTCGTCAAGAGGAATCCTCACCAACGAAGATATTTTGCCCCTGCAGACCCTCTCAAAAAGAGAATACTATTGTTATCCCCTCATGTTTTACAAACAGCCAAAAAGACTTGCTTGGGGGCGTGCTTTTTCATGGTGCCCCATGTATCACGTACATAATAATAAACAATGTACCCCCACCCCACCGTAATAGCTCTTTTTTCATCCTCTCTGTCAGCCATCACCGCCAAAAAGCAAATCGACAGGGCCATCATCATCACAGCCATCATCCGAATCATCGTCACTTCGCAAAATGTTATACACCCGAAACCTATCAGGCGCTTGCCACGGAACAGTTTCTGGCCGGCCCACATTTGGTATGTCAAAGCGTCTCAGTTCCAAGAAGTTGTACTTTGTTGGCCGCGCAACTCTGGGCCAAGTACCCTGGGCCCAACCGATCAGATACGATTCCGCATCAGTTGAAATAGAACCTTGTTTCCGGCAAGCTGGCGCTTTCTTCAACAAATTCTTTCTCAACTTCTCTGAAATAGCCCTTCGATCAGCAACTCCGGAGGGCTGAATGAAAGAAGCCCTCATACGCACGCAAACCTCTGCTGGCACTAGGCAAATCACTCTGAAAGGAGATGCGTCAGCCATGAATTTTTTTTGCCAGGAGAAGAACATCAAACCCATGTGGTTCGTGTCGGCGCAGTTCCTCAATTTCGCAGGTGCCAAAGGAAGCAGGGTCTAGATCTTGCCGGAGTGCAAAGCGAAGCTGTCCCACATTTCCTGAAACACTGTCTCGTGTGGCAGCTTTTGACTCGGCTCAGACTGTGAGTTTTGATTTGAGAAACTCTCGTAATGAGACTAATGAGACATCTCCTCCAAAACACAAACGGTCGAGATAGCCCTGAACCTCACAAACCAAACCCAACAGATAACCTAATACTTTTTGAGGGTGCACACAAATCTGCAATCTTGGCACTCAAGAAGCCCCATGCTTCTTGACAAACCTTTCGACAGAACCAAAGCAAGAAGGTGGGAAACTGCACAAGAGAAAACAGGAACGCCTTCCAACACGGTGTGCCTGAGGTTCGGAGCCCCAACAATCGAATACCTAAAGCTGCCACCCAATCTTGCCAACACGCCACTTCATCCAACTTGTAAGTGTGAGTGTGCACCTTTGCGCGCTGTGCCTGCTTCCGAAACGAATCGGCCTCTCGGTCGGGGCGTGTAGCACTATCCAGCAGCTCCACTACATCCTGTGGAGTGGAGAATTCTTGAGGTGTGAGGTACGACGCTATCTGTGAAAAGTACTGGTCAACGTCCTCATGACCTTGGCTTACAACGCATTGGGGTAAGGCTGGAATAAGACCATGCGCCGCAAGCCTAAGCAAACTTGAAAGTTGCTAAATGTGTGCTCAACAACGCAAAGCTGCTGTGTCCTTTTCGGAGGAACGACATGGAAAAATGCCGGAAGATTCCAAGGCATAGTGTAAGCGCTGCGTATGCTGCTACGTACTGATTCTTTGTCTCTCTGTATGTGTTGTCGGCTTGGAGGTTCACGCCAGTTGGAATACTACCCTTTTCCAACAAAATGTGGTCGATGGTACGGGAAATCTGTTCCATGGTGCATTGGGAATCTTTCTTGAGGTCTTCATCCCCGATGGCCAGCTGCAGGGCCCAGCCATGTGCCCACGCGGCGGACACGTGAAGGGTAGGCCGGTGCATAGTCGAGAACAGTTTGGTTTGATTTTGGCGTGTTCTTGGAGTTCTGAACTTAGCTTGGTCCATTGCATCATGGATGATGCACAATGTGCTGACATGCGGGAGGCCGCCGATCCTCAAGCCAAACCCCTTTGGGGAGACCCTGAATCAACCCAAGCCTGAATCCCTATAATAAGAATAAACACACAAATGTTTTGCACTCGAAGTCAAGCCACCTGTCATTAGAAACGATCGCATTGGAAAAATACGCTTGGCTCATTGACCTGAAGGCCCAATAGCACTGACGGTCTTGCCATTGCGCCAAGCGATGGCGGACAAGCTCCCTTTCCTCTGCCATCTTCAAATCAGCTGAGCGTGCCTTTCTGATGCGCTCAGTGGCATTAAAGCAGAAATCGCACTGCGCGTGTTCCGACTTCTTCCTAAACATCAAGCGCTTGTCTCGGAGTCCAGGTTTCATGATTGAACTGGCCACTTTCATGAACGTACTATATGATGCCTGGGCAATGCTTCTAGACTGGCAAAATGCCATGTATTCCCAAAACAGATCGGTTCTTGAGCCATGCTGGAGGCACCTCCGGGGGCCTGCAAATGTTCCCGGGCCAATCATTTGGCACTCCACGTCAGTTGTGAAGGTGTTCAGGGTTCGGCCAATCGAGTTGACAAGCCGTTGCAAGTCTTCCAGCCTATTCTCAGAACTTGCATCGTCCTCAGGAAACGGAGTCTCCACCTGCTTTGATCCTGCTTGTTTGATTGTGAGCCAATTCGTTGGCATCACTTCGGCCGCACTGTGGTATAGGAAGTAAAAAAACATAACTATTTGCTCCCATACTTTGCCTGTCTCGCCACGAATGGCGAAGCCAAACGTTGGATGTTTGGCTAACGGTTTCCGAGCATTCTGTGTGTATGCCGACTCTCCGCCCCGTAGCCGCTGCAGCGTGGACCCACCAATGCCCAGCAAGGCCGCCAAGGCCCGACGGCAAACTGGTTTGCCAAGGAACTTGGCAGATTCATTGCTTCTTTGGTTGTAGCGCTGGCGTTTCTGAGCAGGCTGCTCAGGGTAAGCCTCAGACTCATCTGATGATGAGAAAAAAAACCTCGCCATCAGCGTTTTCTTTTTTGTCATCATCCAGCTCATCATCTGTAGCGCGCAGAGTTTCAGATTGTGGACCCTCTGACTCTGATTCGCAGAAAACACTGGAATCAACATCATCAACCGCTTGCTCGCTGCAAGCAAATGTATGAGTCTGAGAACAATTAAATTGTTGCGCCACCCAAATCTCCTTGCATGGGAAAGGTATGTTTCGACAAATTTTGTCCCAGTGGTTCTGAAGAGGATCCTATTGTTTGAAGGATTTTCCTCAGGGGTTGTGAGTTTGCAACATAACAAAAACAGCAGCCAAACTAAAATGTTCAAAGCATCTTTGTTTTCTCTGGGAAGTGAATCAAACTCTGCTCTAGCTCTTTCCACCTGTGTTTGTGCACCAGAGAACTGCTGCAGGCACACTTGGGCTAAGCATTTGCAAGGTCTGCGAAGAAGCACGGACAAAGCAACGCGTCCATGGCCCTTTGCCCGACCCATTCCATTGCGTTCAACAGCACAATCTAAGGATGATGTTGGAAAACACGTGCACAAAGTCGGACAGTTGGAAACATGAAACTAAATTAAATCAACCTTTGAAGTCTGCAGGATCACTGGGCCTGGAAATGGTGTACTCTCTTTTCACACTTGGCTTGGGAGTATGTAAAAGATCTGCGGTTGGATGCCTTCAGCAAACCTGTGCACCGCGGGTCCAAAAATGAACTGTGGCCGGAGCGCCTTCAAAACCCCACCCTCAAGCCTCTCGGAATCTGCTTGTAGCAATGGACCTGGCGTAGTTGATGATCTCACTCATGGCCACCGCCCTGCCCCTCCAAAAGGAGGCATCGTCGAAACTCCAACTCAATATGGAAGTATCGAAGACTGCACCTTTCGCAGGAGGCCACTCCTCCAAGGCACGCCCAAAAAGATGCAACAATTCCCAGCTCTGGGGTGTGATGGACTAACTAGTGATTGATATACCACTGGTACCATAAGCTAATGACTCGAACACTCAGTCTCAGTCTGACTAAGTATTGAATGCACCCAGCCTCCACTTTGCAGAACTGCTGTAAAAACTCGTGAACGTCGCTGGTCTCTGTGATCCCAACCTTCTGCGCAAGGTTGGCAGACATCTCCACCAACCGCTCGCTATTTGACCATGCGCGCTGCGCCACTTGTTTGAATGTGCCACCGCTACACACCGGCCATGGAAACAAACCATCTTTCACCGCAAGGTTGCCCAACTTTTCGTTGTGAATCGTGCGATCATCACAGTGACGGAGGTTGAATATGCTGTCCACAATGCTCACAGTTGCTTTGATGAGTGGGGGCGCTTCCCCAGTAGTCAATGGCACGGATGCTGTATCGCAGCCCGAAACAATCTGGGCCACAGCAGCCTTGGCCGTCTTTGCCTTTTTGCGAGGCGGCATGCAGGCTCACACAGCCCACCAAGCCAGAACTTTTGGGGGCACCCTGAACCCAAACACAAGCGGAGGGATGAAAACAAACACTCTTCAATGGTCACACTTCAGTTGCGCAAACCTCACATTTGATACACACTGAGACACCTAGTTTCTCATCACAAGCAGGTTCGATCCTTCGGTCGAGTTTCAGCCCTCAGTTGTTAGTTGGAAGACAACTGAGGATAGGTATCAAATTGCCAAATCGTCAACAGCACACCATCCGCTGAGCCTTGCCACCCCTGTAGGAACCTAATTTGGACCTGCCAGCAAGGCTTCTATGCAAACTGCGTGCCTCAAGGAGCACCTAGCTCCCTACAAACGCAAACTACCACTCACGACCTCATTGGCAAGCAAGCCAAAGCTGAGCACAAACTGGCAGCAATTATTGGAGCCGAGAACCTTGATTCCACTTGCGCTTGACTTGCTTTGAGAAAGGCTTGGAGGATGGACAGGTTAGGCTGAGACACTTTCATCTCATTCTGTGACTGTACGGGTTGCCTGCTGCCCTAAAAGTTTACATATTATATTAATATATAGTATATATAAGTTGTTTCCAGGGCACGAGTTGCCGCAAAGATCTGCCACCAGCCGAGGTTTCAGCTTGTCCATGCTATAGTTATACCACTCCCGCGCGCCAATGCCCTGGAGCCTTGCTCGCTCCTCATGGGGCAGCGTAAAAGTTTATGGTTTGTCATTGCTGGTTGTTTTGTCGCAACCCCAGTCCTGTGGCTCAAGACAGGTCCACCTCTTCGTCACCACATACTTTCCGCCAGGAAGCAAACATGGGCAAAGCGTAGGGTCAGACTTTGTCCAAGTCGCTCGATGAAAATTCTGGTCCTTGGGACGGTTTTTACTTATTGCAGTTACAGAAAGTCTACAACTAATTTGCCAAAGCGCACAAAATAGAACAATAGTGACAAATTGGAAAATCTTGCAAATGTATAAAGCCCTAAGCCTAGAGTCGACCTCCACGAAGAACATGTCCTCAAAAGGGCGGAAGCGGTTCTGCTGCAACTCAGTCACGCAAACGGCCAGAATGGACAGCTCTCGTTCTGTCAATGGCATGGAATAGAAGCGAAGCTTGTCAAGGTTGTTCATGACATCTGCCTTTGATTGCGAGCGGCTCCCCACCAAAAAACAAAACTCGACGCAACAGCATTGACTGAGGTAGAACCCTCTAAACTTTAGCCCAAGGTGAACCAAAAGCCTGCTAGGCACTTACCAAAGGCCTCACCAAGCTCCCTGCATCGCTGTTTGAAACCCTCCTGCCACTTCTGGCCGCGGGTCTTGCGCATGGTCTCAGCCGCTGCAGCATTTGAAGGACTGCGAAGAAAGAACAACGGCAAAGGCAATGGGCTGCATTTGAATTTGCTGAAGAATGCACCAGGCGACCTGCAGATAGAATATGATGCGCTCCAAGCTCACATTCGGTTCTAATTTCACAAACTGCACTGGCTTCCCAAAAAATAGAAAACAACAACTAGTCAGTGGACGTCCAAGGTACACGTCTTCGTCCATGTGATTCGTCTTAATGTATATCGAATACACTCTCTGGCGAGATTGCCTCAGGCCAAACTCGCAACTGTTCACCTTCTCGAAGTGGCAATGATATCCACGCTTCTCAAACGCAGCATGCTGAATCAGAATCGGTTTTTCGCCATCAAATTCATGGCGGGTGTGAAGCATCACCCGCACGT